GGAACACAAGAATCTATAGGTATTAACTATACTTAGACGAATCAAACAGAGAAAGTCGTGTACACAGTGGCGGATTTACCAGCAGGCTGAGTAGGCTGGAGCCTAGGGCGGAAAATTTAGTTCATAAATTTTTATTTCGGTTTACAAATTTAAAAAAAAAATTATTATACACATACATAATACGAATTTTTCCTAAACGCTTTACTAATTATACATTAATGATTATGAACTTTTAGAATATCGCGATTCGATATTATAATCGAAATTTAGTAATTTTTACATATATTCTTCACTGATAACTGCTATAATTTTTTCTCCGTGTACCTAATAATTATGAGATCTGCTTACCCAATTCAATCGATATAATATCGATGGTCTAATAAAAATACTGACTAAAATTTACTAATTTTTATTAAATAAAAAACTAGTTCAATATATAAGAGATCATATTAATCAAATAACTGATAGTTGAACGACAAAAAATTCCCTCCACAAAATATTAAGTAAGACAATTAGCTCATTAGAAAATTGATACATTTTATCAGTTAATTATTTTATTTGCAGTAAGAAAAAGTTTGTAAAATCCAAATGAGCAGGCCTTAAGCGCTCATGTCGTACACGAATTATTTAAATTAAATGTTTACATCAGTAGATTTGATAACTTTTTCGCAAAGCCAACTTTTTCAGAAAATGCCAATCGGAATGAATTAATTATAAGAAGATAAAACAATACTCAGCTGCAATTTTTTATTCAACGGCTTCTCCGATAAGTTGCTTTTTAAATAATATTCATGTACATCATATTTGTTAGGTACGGTTTAATGTGAGAAAACATCGGATTTAGATTTTTAGGCAAGAGTAGAGCATACCTACTACGCGCTTCGCACTTAAGGCATGCAATTGCGTAGTCGTATTTGTATTGTAACGCCAGAACAAACGACATGACATGACATTCATATTTTGTAAGTATTGTATAGTTTTAAGACATACCTTACCTTACTTTAAAAGTGGTATACGATTGAGATATTTTTTCCTTAAAATAATGTTTTTTGATAATCTTTGCTGTAAAAATAATCAAGGATCTAACACGGTGCCATAGTTCTCAATAATAATAACTATATGGGAAAAGTTGATGTAACGAGGATGATGGAGCACAAATTATGAAGTTGGAATTTTATTGATAGAAAATTGATATGATTGTGGACTAAGATATCAAAATTTAGAGGCGGCAAAAATTGAATAGCCTACGGGCGGCAAATCTATAAATCCGCCACTGCGTGTACAGAAATAGAATTTATTAATTTATTTATCCTTAGTTATTAGAATAGTTACTATCATTCATAATCTCATTCGTCATTCAAAAAGTTTGTGGTATAGTACTTAGGCTTCGTAAGAAATTAATATCAACATAGCACAGAGGCGTACCTAATATAATATATGTTAATAATATATTTAATATTTAATAATATGTCTAACTTTTCAACACATACATCCTACCAATTCTCACATACGGCTGCGAAACATGGGCACTTACCAAAGCACAATGTGAAAGATTAAGCGTAACCCGGACAGCCATGGAAAGAAGTATTATAAAGAAAAGAAAAATTGACAAAATAAGTAACAAGAATTTAGAGAGATAAAACAGGGTTTGCTGACGTTGCATATAAAACAAAATACCTAAAATGTAAATGGGCTGGACATACCATAAGAGGAGCAGATAAATGGAGCATAATTCGAACACTATGGCAACCAAGAGGCCATAAAAGAAACAGAGGTAGGCAATCTAAAAGGTGGGCCGATGAAATCATGGAAATTGCTGGAAAGACTAAGACCTGGACGAGATTGGTATACAATAAGGGAAAATTGAGGACAATGGCCAATGGGGGAGGCCTTTGCCCTTAGGCACACAGAATCGGTTATCGTAGATTAAGGAAAACCAATAGTTATAATGTATATATTTTGTATCTCTTATGGCTATAAATAAATAAGTATAATAATAAATCTACTACGATCCAATTCTCTATATCATGAAATTATCAATTTTGTGATCCGGGCGCGACTCATAGATTTGAGCGAAAATGCGAACAGTAAGAAAGTAATCAAGACTGCTAGGTGATATCATTAAAAATATTTTAACATATAATTAATTAATGAATATTAGTAATATAAAATAACAATGGTTAAGCAAATTTTTTTAGGTCACATTTTAATTATTTTTAAAACATAAAAGAACCAATTGCAATGAAAAAGTGCAAAATCTACTTATACATCTAAAAATATTATTTTTATATTATAATCCATTCATAGTTAAAGTAAACTCATTACCAAAACTGGGCCGCATTTTTACATCCAACAAAGCCTATAGAAATGAGAGCCAGTTATATTATACAATATACAAAACGAATGTATGAATGACGTAAGAGAATGATAATGTTATATGATTCTTTATTTTCAGGTTCCGGTTGCAAACGATTTGCAAAGGTCAATTTGTAATCGCAAATTGACTACTTCTCTCAATACGGATCATATACATTCATATGTCACTGTAATTTTTCTATATTCGGAGATATCTCTCTCTCAAAATGTCATTAGTGATGCAATTTTGGATGGCCAAGCCATAATTGTTAGGCTATACTATCTAATTATACTGTCCGTGACTTTCTCTGTATACACTTCTAAATTTTATTAACAATTACAGTAGAAGATCTCTACACATCAGTGTATGAGATGCGCAGGTTTTGACTACTTAAGACATTACTACTAGGAGCTGCTTTATCGCGAGTTTCCCCTACACAATCAAGCCAAGTTACGTGTCGAGACGTTATGAATATATTATTGGGATTTAATTAACTACTTATTTTCAGTGCCCCTAAGAGCTCGTTCCCACTATGTCGTCTGTCGGGACGATTTTTTATCGTGTGTCGTAGCGGCAGAACATTTTATATGAAGGTATTCACACTCGTCCGACAACGATTTTGTGTCGGATCCGACAAAAATTATCGTGTGTTTTGTCAGCCCTTCCGTTCGGAAAATAAACGTGTCGGATCCATGTTCGCATATGATCGCAAATGGCGCCGTTCACATTTGTCGCGCCGCACCCCCTGTGCCACCCGCACACGATAAAAAATCGTCCCGACAGACGACATAGTGGGAACGAGTTCTAAACCACCAGTAATATGACATATTTCTACGTCTGATTAGTTATTTTTTTCTATCTATTGGCAAGTCATCCATTGGTGTCATTCAATAAACCAACATATGTAAAATCAATTATGTTTTGCCAGGTATACACCTGTATCTCTTCTGAGTTTAAATATAAAACAATTAAATATCGGTAGATTAAAACACGCAAATGTAGGATCGTTTTTGGGAAAACCACAGATAGTTCCTGCCAAATTCATACTAAATTACTAATTACTAAAAAAGTGCATGTATATTCAAACTCACTTTTAGACAATAATACATTATACAAATAATGTATTACCCGTATCGTACCTTCTCCATATCAATTCGAAGTTATTTTCAGCATAAGCCAACTTTGTTATATTATAATTAAAGTAAATATTATTTAGGTATAAATCATGTATTAAAAAGTGAATGGTGATTTCGTACTTGCAGACGCGGAAAATAAAATGTTCAAACAAAGGTGATTTATTATGCACATCCTACCCTGCGCTCTTTGGAATTTACAGTTGTATATGGTTTATATGTAATTTGAATTTGAAATAAATTATTGTTTCATAGTATGTAACGTTATGAGAGCGCCCTGCATACACAAAACACTTGCCTATTAAGTGTTTACCGTTTGTATTATTAACGATTCATTGCGGCAACTTAAAGTACGTTTTATACAGGGGTCACATGAGATGATTAATTATAACCACTACTTTGATATAGGAAACACTTTATATAAAAAAGATCAGGATGAGCAGAGTGGTTGTTCTGAATCAATAAAGATGATGTGAAGAAATGTATATTTGGTATACATATAAGTATTCGTTTGATCTCCGGATCTGGACAGATTCATTTCATTATATTTCTTGACGTGTAATTCGTCTAGAAGAACATTACGAGTACACCATGTTTTGGACCCAAAAACGGCTGATACAAAGCCACAATGAGTCTGTCCCAAACTCCATCGGTAATGGGATGGGTTATGGGATTATGGGAACTCATACAAATAACTTAGTAGGTATGTAGGGCGTACTGAATGTTAGTATTTGTCTAAGTATGGTATAGGGATTTAGATAAATCTAATATGTTATGACATTCCTTTGCTTACACTTAGTTATCTAATCTTATTCAGACTTTTATACCTAGTGAGGTTATACTAGATAAAACCTAACTTAGACATAATTTTGAATTCTTACGACGCCAAAAGAGCCTGTCGCAAACTTAGAATTTAAAATCTCAAATCAAATATTTGAGTTAAGGTCAAGTTTTCTAGTTTTCTTGAAAAACTTGAAACAAAAATCTTTGTCAACAAAAGTGCTAAAATTCGTTCGACCTTATAATGAAACGTGATCAAAGGTAGTTTCGTATTGGTCACCATGGTAACGGTGTTATTTCGACAGAAAAATTATATTGACTATGGTAACAAGCACACTACTTAAATAGATATACAATGAGGCAGATTATGTTTTATACTTTCAGCAAACAAAATTGTAAGAAATAGTGTCGTTACATTCACCGAGAGCCAAGAGAAACTTGTCATCTAAAAGTTAAAACGCCCACTGGCATTAGAGAAACTATTGACTGTAGAACTTTATTTATCGATACTGTCACTTCTTTAATATCCTTTTAATAATTTTAACTTGATTGTTGATAGATATAAGATTTAAAAATGACTTCGTGTGTACCGGTTCTGCGCATAGACACGCAGTGCGGGCGAAGAAAAGGCGCGCGCGGCGATTGAAACTGTCAGTTGCACCAGGGTTGCCAGTAGGGTCGGACATCAATCTAGTCATATTTTTTATTAAATTGGTAATTAAAAGGTCACCATGAAAGTGTTCATCGTGTTGGCAGCGGCAGCTGCTCTTGCAAGTAAGCATTTTTTAAACTTTACAAAATTATTAGTCGACAAAAATCTGCAATTATTACTTGCCCAAAATGTTATTTTAATATTTAAAATTAGTCATAAATTGGGTTAATACATTGAAAATATCCGTTAAATTTGTAATTCGATACGAACTTAACTCGCTAATTTGTAATTCGATAATTATTTATCCATGAGACAAAGAGCAAAAACTCCAAATTTCTAAGTGAAAATTGTTGCTTCGAATAAACATAGCGATATATCAAGTCGACACGCTTGGAATATGTATAAAAGGTTATATTTAAGCTTTACCTACATTTGTATTCAGCCATGTATGCAATTCTAATTGATATTCAAAACTCGCATATTTTGGTGAAAAATCCGCGAGAACGTGGAGTTTTGCACAGCTTGTCTCAAAACATTTCTAATTTAATACTTTTCCATCATCGGCTAAAATTTTATTTATTTTAATTATAACATAACCAATAAAAAGTTAGATGCTATATGTAGGATGTACAGTATTATTTTAAGAAAATTGCTTGTGTGATTTTTCGTTTCATTCACGTTAATCTATAAATCAGTCATAGATGCAGTAATAGAACAATTCATATTAAAAGTGCAGAATTAAAAATAATTTTAGTCAAGGAATTCAAAGAAAAGCTATTAAACCCAGAGGCCGGCACTACCCTTCAGTGGTTCGCAGAAATTCGACATTGACATTCACTAAAAGTACGCAATAGTGCCACAAATTGCGTAGAGATTGTGTTGACATAATTATATTATTTTACGCAAAACATTCTTTCTCTCTTTTGCAACACAACCTTTTCATACTAAGTTCTGTGGTCGCAACAAAATTATATACGCATAAGAACGTTTGAACTTATAACTTGGTATTTATACATATGAACGAACTTTTCCAATTTACTCCGGTAGAAGCCCATACATGAATTTAAGGTTAATATAATCGTCGATCTTGTCGAACACCCTTGAAACTAAAGATATACATACCATAATAGAACTTATCTGCTATACATGGCGACTCGCAGGAAGTTTAACATCCTTCTAGTTTCCATTTATAGTAAATGTAAATAAAGGTTTCTTCTCAATTATTTTTTAAAGCCCTTATAAATATTTATTAGTATAGGCATACGTTACGTATAAAACTTTATGAATTAAATATATATTACATAAAACAGCACGTCATATTAAATTCTAAGACAAGCCAGTTTTAAGGTTTGAATTAGCCTAAGATACTCCGGTCCAGTTCAGTTACAGTGAGTGCTAAAAGGCAAAGTTTTTTTATGGAAATGTATATACATTTTAAGTAATAAAAATGAAATTATTAAAATATTGATTCCGACCAAATTTACTGTCTCATTATTTATATTTAGACTGATAGTCGCAAATCATTTGATACGATAATATCTTTTGGTACTGTTTTGTAAGTACATTTAAACTGTTAACCTTTTACACAACAGCATGGGAATAAATTGGGAAAGAAAATTTGCCACGCATGTGCACTTGTACAAGTACGTATTCCTGTAGCTTGACCATTTAAGTATAAGATTACAGATTTTAATTTCCTTATGGTTTTTACTGAAGCTTTTAGCTATACATTTTTAGAAATCAATGGGTACCAAAAATTCTAATAAAATAAGATCTGTGGGTCATCATCCGACCCTCGACGCATCCAAGCGATGCACCATTCGATGTTGTAATCGTCACCTCACTTTCACTTGTTGCGTCAGCTGCGCAGGCGTCGCCTACCATCTTAGATCCCACGTGAAGATCTTTAGAATTCTGAAATTTACATACAATATAAATTAATCATTAATTTACTTAAAAATTAATACGACTCGCTAAGTTAACTAGTAATGTTCGCTAGTTAATTATAGTTTTTTCACCATATACTTTCAAAATACAAAGTATGATAAAAGATGTTAATAATAGTATTATTACAAAAAACTTCCTCATACTTCTAAAAAGTAGGTTGATTATTTAACCTCTTATAATAAAGACATCTAAAAGGTCATTGGGTAACAGAAAACCGGCTACATCACGTTAATTTACATATGTAACATTAGCTGAATATGCCAAACGTCCAAATAGATACTATTTTATACATAATTCATCTCTTATAGGAATAAACATTTTTATATGACTTTTATTTAAATTATCAATTTAATAATTAAATATAAATACAGTCAAATAGGTTAAAGCTTCACGACCTTGACAGTATTAATTTAAATTGCAAAGTTATACTTTTATTCGTGTAACATGTTATTCGTGTATTTAAGTAAAAGATTTTTGTTAAAATAGCAAAATATCATTCTGTGAACTTTATTAAAAGTGGCTACTTAAGGTCGTTTTTTTATATTCATACAAAAATAGTTTTCATAAAACTTTTTTCAAATCAATTTCACCGTTCAATTAACAAAATAGCTATGTTGTTTGCATGATTCTTTTAACATGCAATTGCATTACAACATCAAGTGCAATAGTGCAAGCCACTGATAGAGGTAGTTTTGTAAGAATATGTATTTCACTAAATAACTGTATACCTACTTGGAGAGACTTATAGGAAAATTCTCACAAGTAACACTATTAAATCTTTTATCTTAAGATTCTAGCATTGAATCCCCTTTTTCTGAATCTATTTAGAACCTTATGAAATCAGTATTGTATTGCCAAATTGTAAGAGCATATGCCACGTATTATAAGCCAATATTGTGTTAGCATTATATAACTGTGCGTTATTATGTAACTCTGACCCGTTCTGAAGTATCAAATAGCGCTCTACTTCTCAACTTGATTGATTCGCTTTCACACGACAACACCAAACTCGTGTAGGTGTAATTAATTACTACTTTAAAATTATATATAAAATATATAGTTGGAATTTGATTTAAATTGACTCGTTATATTAGTTAGCTATCGTTTTTAAACTGAAGTCAATATTTATAGATGTGACTTTATAAACAATGTTACATACATATAAAAATAATATTTAATTAACTGACCATTATATTTGTTTTATAGACGCCCAATTTAAATGCCCCAACAAAGACGGCCAATATGAAGACGACAGACAATGTGACAAATTCTACGAATGCAGAGATGGTGTTGCCACCACAAAACTCTGCCCAGATGGTTTAGTGTTCGACCCTACTATTAGGAAGATCAACAAATGCGACCAGCCCTTCAACGTTGATTGTGGAGATAGGACAGAATTACGTAAGTATTTTCAAACGTCCTATATATGAATTACAGAGTGCAAACTCTGTGCCATGATTCTGACACATTACAATATGATTCTTATTTTAATTAACGAAATTCAGTGCCTTTGAAGGAACAAAAGTCTATAATGTAACTTATATAAATATAATATAATATTAAATTGTAAATATGAAATTTATATACCTTCACGAGTGGATTCTTTACCACATATTACAAAGAACGCCTCAAGGTTGGTTAACTGTGCCAGACATGAAAGTATCCTGTCTACCTTTGACCGCCTAGGTCACGCTCCTGAATTTAAATACAAAATTAAAATTTATATTTAATTTCAAGTGTAGAAAGCATTATATAAACATGATAAAACATTGATAGGTGTTAATTTAAAAACAAAATATTAGTCGCTTTTTTTGACCGAATTGTGTATTGATAAATGCGGGTTCTTCCAGACAACCCAAGCATGAAAATAAACTAAATACAGAACTTTTAACTTATACACTACATTTTACTGTATTTTGTGTGTAGAAAGTTGTGATATTCATTTTTATACTTCTTCTATTATAAATTACCTAATAAGCGTTATAATACGCGATTAATATTTTTTTAAATACATACACACTATTTCAATAAAGATCATGTATCAACGTGCGAGAGCAGAGATAATTTTATTCTTTTTATTTATTATATTTTATTCGATTAATTTATAGAGAGATTGCTATAAATTAATCTTATAAATTCATATTTATATCTACTCTCTATTGAAGTATTTTTAATAAGTCATGTTAAAAAAATACCTTACGTACAGTTTACATTCTTCATTATCTATCGCACCTATAAAAGAATTCAACGCGTTTGGCACGCCAAGAATTTTTGTATTAACATTATTAGCAAATTTCTAAAATAAATTATACTCAATACTTTTTCTATACAATTTTAGGCATTCGTTGAAATATGTAAGTTTTTTGTTATTTTATCATATTTGATATATTTCGATCACAAATCAGATAATACATATTACTGCAGTAGCGCAATTTAACTAACTTTACTAAAATATCACTAGGAAATAATTACTTATTCGATGTTTAATAAACCTACCTAAAAATTGTAAAACAATTAATATAAAAGAAAAAGTTTACATACAAACAGGAATATACCATAACTACCCATTATTACATATTACAAAAAACATCATGTTACTGTGGTTCATCAAAAGTATTTTTATTAAGTCTTGAAATATAATATTCGGTTGAGTGAAAAAAAAATCAATATAATTCAGCTGTCATCAGTAGATACGATATCTATAAATCAGAACTGAAATGAACAATAGTAAAAGCTATTGTCTTGTCATGTCGGCAATATTTTTTGCAATCACTGCCTAGGCTTGTAATATAACCATGTCAATTTCATCTAGCTGACCTAGTACACTAGGTATCACTTATAAGACCAGTTTTCGATAGACATTCCATTACTCAACCTATATTGTTGCTTAATTGCTGAGTAACAAATCAAATTCAATCTATCAACTAAACCTACTTGGTGTAAAATACTGGTAAGTGCCAGCCGTAATAATTGTATTTTTTTTACTATCTAAGGCTAATGAATTGCCTATAGACCTATATTTAGAATAAGTAAAAGACCTAACACAAGAGACATACAATAAAATGGCTATGCAATATTCTGGACAACATCGATTAACTTTCTTACCACCACATTAAAAGTGAGAGCTTTGTATTATATTAATTTTAATGTACTCGTATACTACCGATAACTAAAAGTTACTTATATTATTTTTAAGTAAATATAGTCAATTTTCTGTAAAAATGTTTTCTTATACGATATACATAAATCTAATGTAACCAGATTCTCAAGTCGTGATTGTGTAGTCCTTCTCTCGTAAACGTTAATCTCTTAAACTGAGGAATATTATAAGTGTCCGAGATCTTATGTCTAAATTATTACAGAGATTATTGCTCAATTCAAATTTATTCCTCTGTATCATGCTATAAAGCGATTTTAACATCCCATATTAAGTAGATTTGCATTTGTGCTTCTGATTTTTAACGACCGGTAGAAAGTTGATACGAAACAACTTTCTGATTATTTTTCGAGATAAAACATCTTACATAATAATTATAAATTCAAAAGCCGTTAATGTATGGTTAAATCAAAGTATATAAGATAGTCGGAGATCTCGTATGTAATAAATAATAATGTAATTTAAAAATCTTAAAACAATTTCATAAAAATATTGAGGTAATTAAAACGCTATTATGATATATTTTAATTATTTACTGTAATATTTTAAAGAGCACTAAATGACCTTCATAAAGGATACTATTTCTTCTGCTTGGAGTCTTTAATTAATTTAATAACTTCCGAAACGAGTTATTGAGGTTTATTCTTTCGTTCTCCAAAATATGGTCAGAGGCGATTATTCTTACACATGCAAATGAATAAATAATATATTATAATTCAGGGTTGAATGTTGGATAAGTTATCCTTAAAACAAATTGCTTACGTCACGACCATGGCTTATTAGAATGCTCTTACGACCCGAATTAAGCTCTCGTTTTTATTTTTTAACCATTTCTGTTTAGATTATCTCTATCACGTTTTGTTTTAAGTCTGATAGTTCTAATACTTACAACTTTGGGCTTGTGTCATCCTTATTGTTATTTGAAATAAATATCTAAGTTTACTAAGAAGTAAATCGGGGTTCAAGAACCGTATTGATAAAACAATGGCAAGCAGTCCAGGGAATGACTCATTGTCAGACATGTCACGTGTCTCGTGAACTCTCCTAGGAAACCAATATTATTACAATACTCATTTAGAAGAAAGCTCCATCGATTAGAGTCGTAACATGAATAATAATTCTTAGTGTATTTTTAATGGAGTCACAAATATAACATTGCAGTAGATATAGCTGAACTTATATATAGTACGTAAATGGCATGACCATTTCTTGAAAAATGCCAATATTTTCAAAAAAACATTTCTCAATATGCATAAGAAGTATATATATATAATCGCTCTTAAACCTATCATAACATCGTGAATTATGTTGAACAATTCCATATAAAGGTTAATAGGCGTAGTAAAACTTAATTTGAAATAAATTCCGAAAATAACCTATAAAACTCATAAATATCTTATCGTATTAAAATAAGACCACCAAACATGGCTTTACAAGACGAACCCAGTGACAATAAAGATTATAAATTAAGTCGTGACGTCCATTGAAATGACTTAAATCCATGAGATTGACCATGGTAAGTCCTGGTATTCGAGGCTGACCGCTTGGGACTGGTAAAATGGTATTAACTACATATTCTGGCTTTTTCTATCCTCTCGTATTGTTATAGTTAACGCAGCAAACTTTAGTGAGGTTTTGATGTAATTTAATAAATTATTGCATCATTTCACTTATTATAGTGGTTAATTGTACATTTTTCTTGCATCTATACTTTGTTGAAGTTTTGCATCTACTTATCGGATATAAGAGATATTTTTATCTCCTTTCACTTGTTTTTGTAACAATATCTGTCCACCATCTCCTTAGAAATGTTATCACTAATTTTTACCACCACAACATATAACGATGGCTATTATTAGGATTCATTGTAGCTTTATTAATAGGGTTAGATACCTTATAGCTGAATAAAAAGATGAATTATCTATCTAAACTATAAAATAATATTAATTGCTGAGTAGTTAGTAAGCACAAATGCCTTCGCAATTAAAACAGTTATAACGCCCTCTATGGATGAGAAAGTTTTGGTAGTACACAAGTAATCTAATAGATGCATATAAAAATTAACACAAAGTTGCACCAACTTTCCACGAACGTACAACGTTGTAACTATAGGCTGCGCATGCGCCGGTCACGACTCTCATTACTCGGCAATACAGAGCAACCTTTCAGGGGAGTTGCACGTGTGTTTTCGTTCATACCAAACATAGAACAGGGTCCAACAAAATGAAATTTTTAATTATAATCAGTGCCGCTGTTTGTTTTGGTGAGTTAAATTTATTTTACATTTGGAAGCTACATAGTATGTTTTTGCTATGTGCGCAAGTATTTTAATAAAAATTTACCACATATAGTTTAAATATTTTACAATTAATTTATGAGTTAGTTTTCGTTTATTTAGTAGGTATGGACTTAAGTTATAAAATATGAAACGAGGGTGTTTCTAGGTTGTTTCTAACAATTATTATGTTATAGACATATTTTTTAGTAGTTACAAGAGAATTTTTATATAAAACTGTCTGACGCAAGCTTTTATGAAATATAGAAAATATTTTAGCAATGAAAGTAACTAGGGCTATCAAGGACATGTTACGAATTCCCTTGAGCTGTGGTTTACTGTCACTTACAAGATAACGATAATTCGATTTACCTCGATAATTCCGGGTTATTAAATGGAATAGGGAAAGTTAGTGTGAGTGGTTCTAATCGCCCACAATTTTATGAAAAACATTTATACCTTACCAACAATAAATGATTTAAAAAAAATGAAATGACATTTACAATAGCGAATATTCAATTTTTAATATTTTTTTTAATGTTATTTATTCTGCTTTTGTCAAATATTAACAAGATCGATAGATCAGTGCGGAAACACTAATTTTAACTTAAATCAAATCATTTATGAAATATTTATTATAAATACACTCAATATTTTTTGACTATTGATATATATATTATAAACTGGAAAAAATACGTCCACTTGGCAACAAATTGATGATTTATACGTCACTAAAACTATTTACGAGCTTGTGTGACTCAAATAAAATCAAAAAATAAATATGACCATGGTTAAGCTTTTGGATTGTATTTTAGAAATTCATATTATAGGCATTTTATTAAATATAAACATAAAGGTCAAATACAATTGATGTGAATTAATCATAGGTAAATCGTTCGTCCTCCTTTCACGAACTCAATATCCTAGCGAAGTACGATGCCAACAATTGCCTAACGTATTTTGTAAAGCAATTTTACTATTCCACTTTGTCACGGTATATCGACTTTTCGAAACTTACTCGATAATGGGCTTAAGTAATGTGTAACAGTGAGCAATTTAAACTAATTTCCTCTTAAAAATAAATTAAACTTGTTCATTGCAAACG